GCCAGAGATAAATCCATGGATTTTACTTTTCAAGTGTAAAAAAACGCATCTTTCCAAAGACCAGTCTTGCGGCAAAACCACTCAAAATTTCGTATGCTGTGTAATGACAAAAAATACTCAAAATCCAACGAATAGTTAGAAATTTCAAAAATATTCAAAGCATTCCATTTATAAAAATAAAGTTGGTTACTGTCCTGGCACAACGTAACACCTTGTATACCTAAAAAATAATATAAATAAAATATGTTTTGTTTTTTTATTTATTTAATTTTTTTCCTCCGTACTTATTGAGATTAGGTATAGGAGCATCTTAAATGGACGACCCTGTACACCAAAAAGCATTATGTTCTCACTCCTCGGGCTCATGACAATGATTAACGCCGCCGACGTCTTAAAGTGACACTTAACGGAGCTAATTAGTGCGTAGGGTAGGATTTATGAGCATATATTTTATTTCACTATTTTCAAATCGAACTCGATTGTTATCAAGATAAATCGAACTCACAATCAAATTGAAAACCGAAAACATTACACAAATTATGTAAGCTGGTAGTTCTCAGCTGGTGTAATGCGCCGCGATAAAGAAAAAACGTGATTAGAAACCTTTCTTTTAGACAGGAGAAAGAACTCGCTTATAACAAATCTATTTCGCACTGTTTACTGGTGCGGAAACGTTTTCTCGTTGATCTAATGCAGCTTCGTCACGGTAGTTCCGTCTCGCTACTCTGCGAAACAACCAAAACGATATGCAACTTACCGTGCGTGTTAAAATGTCGAAAATAAACATTTGTATGGTTCGGACTGGCTCACGCAAAAACGGGTATCGAAACAATATCTCATTGTCACTAGGCAATGAAGTCGGAATAGGTCGTGTAATTTTGAGATGAAACAGTTTTCAAATGTGCATATTGAAATTTTGCTTCACGAGTTGTGGGAAGTGGAAAGTGGGAAGACTATAACTTTTAAACGGCTTGAGATAGCGATTTGAAATTTGGAAGGGCTAATGTAGGCTGAATGTCCAATTTTATGAAAGTATGTAGTTAATCGTTGCGCTTCCGGTTTGAGCGGACACGACAGTAACTTTCAAATTTTCAGGAGATCATTCTAAGTAGGATAGAACGGTTTTTCTATTTTTTTTTTTTGTTTTGTTAAATTTCTATTTAATTTTTGAAAATATTGTCCAGGAGGCTGTGTCAAATACTATTTATTTTTCTTTACTTGTTTAATGGCGAATATTTGAATTCGTTTTAGAAACCTTTAACTTTTTTATTAACAATGATACATACGTAAAACTGAGAGTTTTTGGAATATTTTAATTTTTCTAAGAAGATACTAGTTTTGACACCATTATTTTATTATTTTATATCTGATACTAGCAGGGTTCGAGGATGACGCAAAAGATATATGCAACCGCAACTATTGCTATCATATTAGTTGGTCATGACAAAAGTATTAGCCAACAAAGCTCTGTTAACATTAAACAATGAATAAGAAAGAAAACCTTGTTGGAGCCGTAGAAAAAGCAACAGCAATTTTGGTGAAAATAACACCCAATAACGCACAAATTAACTTATCTTTTTTTTTATTCAATGTTCACTTGGATACACATGTTTAGTCCTTTTCGTGTAGTTTCGTGGACTTTCCTTAGCATAAACGATGTTATTCTCCTGCACGCGTCCCGAATCCTGGCAATGTAAGGGGATTCACATAAACACGATTTTTACCATATTCCTACAAAAAGAAATATTGTGTTTAGTCACATGATCGATGGGCCATCCAATGAATCCAACTCTACCGATCCATTTCTGTGGGTAATGAATGATTAATTAAAAATTCTAGAACTTCTCAATGGTAATGCGGAGGAGTTAAAGGTAAATAATCGTACAAAAAGTTTATATATCTATGTTCTGTAAGTGGTTCGTGAAAAAAAAAGGTCCAATAACTACAAAGTGTTTTATTCCACACCACACATTAAGTGACCAGTGGTATTGGTTTTATACTTCTCATACCCACAATGGATTAACCGTTGATTAATAATGTAGCTTGATAGAAAAATCTTATAACATATAAAAAATTTGGATCGGCTTCGAATGCTTTATTTATAACGATGCAGAAATTTACCCTTTGTTCAACATCACGGTCTAAAAGTTCCTGGTGTAGTTCTATATGGAAAGGATGATATTTGTGTTTTCTAGTAATGTGATTAACTGTAGATTGGGATGTATCACGCTACTGGACGATTGAGGATTATACTTAGTTTTTTTTTATTTACTGAGACCACAATAAATTTTATGAATCCATTTACTTTGTTGTTATCTAAAATTTTACAATGGTCAACTAATATTATAGCAATAGCATCAGACAGACATACTTATTTAAGCTAGGGTTTTGTAAGGTCTTTCAGTTTTAAGCAGCTTCAAGTTTCTAAACGGTATGAAAATCAACTTCAAACAAAACAACTTTTTCCTAATTGAACCTACTCGAACCAATACTGAGATTCTCATCCTTAAGATCCTTATATTGGACATACTAGAAATGAAATTGAAAAACCTTTAACATCAGAGACAAATCATTTGTCAATTTAGATTTCAAAACGGTAATGATGCTGGGAGCTGCTGAAGATAGGGCAAAGCGACGAATTATTAATATAGGATTGTTTCTGTCCATATAAACTGGGGATGAGCTGCTTTAACTTCCATTGCACCAAACCATAACTAGGGGTCTTAAGGCAGTCTTATGCTTCCTGTAAATTAGCACTTAGCTCATTTTTCATTAAATACCTTTGTTTCTAATGAGCCCGTCCCAAGAACGATGCCATTGGTTAATGACAATACCAACCAAGGAACTTTAAACTGTAGCCCATCAACTCTAATATTATTGCTGTTAATAACTTTTGATTAATCCAAAAGGCACCGCCACTTTAGAATAAGTATAATGTATTATACCTGTAAGCAGCAAAATCAAGTATTAATTTTTCAAAAAAACGTCCACAGGCTACTGTAATACTATTTACGAATCTTTTGGAATCCTCCTGCCATTCGGCCCAAAAAACATGAGCTATCAACCCTCTTGTCCACAAAGCCGCAAGACTATCTTAACCCGACTCACTGAACCCAGAATTAAAACACCTTACATCTGCATTGTCCACATGTGAAAAGTTCTTAAGAAATATAGGGTTAAAACCAGATTTATCACTTGCCAAAATTCTATCAACATCTTTCACCATTGATAACGACAAAATAGCGTTTGAGATATCAGGAGCTTACAGTATTTCATGCATATGCGTCACAGAATACATTTGAGAAACACGACGGAAAATATCGACTAAAGAACATCAAAGAGACAAATAAACGCAATCATGAAAAAGGACATAACATATTATTCGATAAAACTAAAATTCTTGCACATAAGCAATTCTTCTACCAAAGAAAAATCCAGGAATCAATAGAAATCAATAGAATCCATTTAAATAGACAACCAATCTTGACCGCCAGTACAGTATATAAGCAGGTACGGGAGCAATCCAGAAGATTTTTTTTCCGTAGCCTGTGGTTTATACGAAAAAAAATCTTTTATTAAAGTAAACTGTATAATTACATTGAAAACTGTCTATTGTTTGAAAGAGTGAATTTTAAACCCAAAAGTTTGTGGAGGGAGTTGGTAGTTAGAATACTGGTGATGATTTTATTTTATGTTAAAAAACAATGCAACTTTGTTTTCTTCCTTTATTAGTCAATTTGGAACAATTTTGTGTGTCTTTAATCGTACTGCTTGATATCTTCGTTTCTTTGTGCTTTCTCCTCTACTGAGTTAATATATATAATAATATAATATTTATAATATATATCTTGCACAAAATAACTGCGGGATCGCCCAATATTGACCAATATAGAGGGAGTAATAAAAGATATAAATGCTCATTGAATAGTGGCTTTTTATTGTTAAGTCAAGCTTTCGCCCAAGTATTCAGGCTTCCTCAGCACTCTAAAATATAAATGGGAAAACACTCCTATCACAAAAACAAGAAAAAACACACTAGGCTAGACAATACATACATCAATTTGCCATCAATTAAACTCTAACAGCAGAGGGGGCACAATACTCCTTGCACAACTAGAGCACCACGTGTTAGCCATTAGTAAAGGCGGCACAGATAGAAAATAGTAAAACAAAGGAAACTTATGCCTAGACAACTAGTCATTAATTAATAAGTAAAATAACCAGAAACGACACCAACATAACAAAAATGCAACCCAATTCGATCTTGTCGGAGATAACCCGCTCAACGGCATTTAAAAGAAAACAGACATCTTGACAGTTGGGAAAATGGTTAGGCACATACAGAGAAAAACTTGAGAGACCAAACAATCACCACGCTACAAAACCAAAGAACACAAGACAAAAAACCACCAACGACCATCATAATGGAACTTACGTTTAACACGGTGAAAAAAGCACAGACCATAGTTACAGTATTCGACTGGATCACAGACCCACAATTTTTTTTTTATTTTATTTTTAATAATATAAACACCTAAACCTCTAGTTGTGCGAGGAGTATTGTGCCCCCTCTGCTGTTAGAGTTTAATTGATGGCAAATTGATGTATGCATTGACTAGCCTAGTGTGTTTTTCCTTGTTTTTGTGATAGAGTGTTTTCCCTTTTATATTTAAGAGTCCTGACGAAGCCTGAATACTTAGGCGAAAGCTTGACTTAACAATAAAAAGCCACTATTCAATGAGCATTTATATCTCTTATTGCTCCCTCTATATTAGTCAATATTGGGCGATCCCGTAATTATTTTGTGCAAGAAGTTACCAGTAGCCTGTTACTGTCCTTAGACTTTAATATATAATATATATTATATATAATATTAGTTAATATAAAGACAAAGGGTAGAAATTAAACAGTTTTTTAAAAGCAAAAACAAAATTGATATCCTTTCCTGAATACAGTTGACCTTAAATATTTTCATAGCCCATATTTTTCTTCTGTTGCAGACATAGTCGGTTGTTTTAACCTACCACACAAGAACTCTCCGTTACAAAAGACGCCCGAAGATCCGAGGATATTGAGGACCAAGTTTTATTTGTTTACGAGGAAAATCAACTTCTCAACTCCCGAAATTCTGTATTACGACGACGATGGCAAATCTCTGAGCGAGTCCAGTTTCAATGTGTTCAATCCGACCAAACTCTTAATCCATGGATACATGAGCAAATGGAACGAGAAAGGAGCAGTCAGGGTTGCTGACGCATATTTGAAATTGGTAAGTTTATTCATTGATTTGGTTTATTGCATCAATCTATTCTATTCTATCTGCGGTGGGTCCCTCTATTTTATTAGGGCAGATCTTTCGATCCACAATGCCCGCCAGTCTTTATTTCCTCACCTGGAACAACCCTGTACTCTTGAGGAAGCACAGTACCTCCTTCATGGGCAGCCCTAGAACTCCAACTGAATATTCCACCAATACACATCTGTATACCGGATTAAAGTAACGATCAAAGATCTTTTATTTAGGTTAATGAGTGTCGACACTAATGTCAACTAATGTTTTCATTTCTAATCCGTAGCCTACTTATTCTATTACGTGCCACTCATTTTAATAATAAAAATAAAATTGTGGAATACCAAATAATCCACGTACGAATTCCAGAATGAAAAACGATAATAAACGAAGTCGACCGAGGCACTGACAGGTCTAGGGTATTATTACAGACATCTTGCTGTAATGGTGAGATATCGTCTGCCTGCAAGGCGCTGGTTCGATAGTCGTTTTATTGACATGTTCTTTTTTAATTTCTACCCAAATTAATTGACTTCTTTAAAAATCAATTTGTTCTGATCTCAATTTGTGTGTCATTAAAAATGGTGGAAGCTGGAAAACCGATTAAATTATACCATTGGTCTGTAGAGCATCTTGAAATTCATAGCAATCACTGTTTGGATTCTTGCTACGATTGGTTTTATGTGGTCAGCATATATAACATAACGCTTTCTGAAATCTCTGGAATAGTGAGTCAAAAAAGGAATTTTACCAGCAAAACTGGTCACACCGGTCAGTTTTACGAACAAAAAAAAATGAAACCAAATTTAATTTTTTATTTTTCTTTCAAACATATTCAATTGAAACCCCATTGGTAATAACAATGCGTTTTGAATTCGGATACATTTTTGCAAAATAGCATCAGAATCAGAATTGGTAGCCCGTGGGCCGTGGCCAAAGTAAAGTGATACTTTGGGCACACTTCGTCAGTGAATAATTGGCTGTTTTAGAGCAGAGTACAAAATACATATAAAATAATAAATCAGACAGATCATCAGTCATTGTGAATAAAGATTTTGCTTTTTGAAGGATGGTTTTGGTCGTTGCTGCCCTAATATCGGTCTGACAGCTCAGTTTGAGTCTATCAACTTTAGCCTGGCGCTTATTTATACTGGTTTGCTTAAAACGTGACGATGGAGCGATGAACATGAAGAATACTTGCAACCTAGTGACAATTACTTCCATCTTCGCAACAAGAGCGTTAAATTTTGCGCAAAGATAGCAATTGGAAATTGTGGTTCAGTCGAACATCTCTACTATCCGTGGTGCGGTGGTTCAGTATTGGTTATAAAAAACCTTTAACAACAGAAGCAATATGCTTCTTAAAAACGGAACCCTAAAACGAATACTTGAAAACGGTGCAGATAAAAGTGTAGAAATTTGATTTGCTTAAATAAGTTGAAATAGCAAAGCAGTTTCCTTATTTTGCGACAGAACCTCTGGCGTAACTATTTCAGTAAGTTCTTTATTTGTAATATTTAAATGAATAATTAATGCATGTCTAATGTAAATTCATCTAAAAAGCAAGCTGTTGTCTGTATACGAAAATTCAATTTATGAAGAAGCAATTGCCAAAATGATTACTTAACTTACATAACATACTTCTTAATAACTGATGCAAACCTATTTACCCACACCGAATTTCAAAATTTTATGCTGCACCTTTTCCAACGTTATTGCGAAAAATCATCTTTAATAACTAATTTTCGGGACATGTTTATATAAACTTTACTATGTTTGTTTTATATTGTCGAACACTAAAGACTGCAAAATTCCACTTGTAGTATATTTTCATTTATTTTACGTAAAATACAAACCGTTTACTCCTAAACAAATGGCAATAATTTGCATTTTACACTTCAGACAATTTCGCTTCTTTTCGTGTTTATGGTATAAATAATTAAAAATAATAAATATAGTTACGAAAGTTTTTAAAAATTTGGTTTTTACTCTAAATTGCCATTTTATTATTTTTGAAAACATCGAAAAAGTTTTGTTGAAAGAAGTTGTTTCTTTTTAAGTTTTTCTCAAATGTGACAATTTTCTAGAAAATTGAGCAAAGTTGTTTTTTTTTTCAGATTTTTCCAACACACCTTTTTTTGGTGCACCATAATTAAAAGAAATAGGGATCACATTACTGAGAAAGTGTTAAATTTATCTTAATCACTGTTACATTTACAGAAAATTGTTTCTAATAAAACTTTGCAATATTTTCAAAAATAACCTAATTTTATAATAAAAAATGCCCATGGTGACAGGTAAAGATAAATGTTTACGAAGTTTATAGCAACAAACATACCAACTATCTCATGATCAAAATTTGCCAAATAGTATATGCTTCAATATGCAGGCTCTAGTGGACATACTAAAGACTGGCATATTACGGTTGATTGAATTAAAACTCCCATACTGACAGCAGAAACGTATGGAACAGCGTTTTACTCTTTAATAGAAAATACTTATATAAAAACAAAAATTTTAAATATAACGAATAACACCTTTACTACTTAATATAACCATTAATATAAAGCAATCTCATTAATGTTATTAACTGTACTATTGAATTGTTTTATAGTGATCCTATTGAAATATAATATGTGGATCAAAATTATATGTTAAAATTATATATTAAACCAAATGTTCTGCAACAAACAGGAATAAAAAACACAAATAAATCTTTTAAAAATCCACATATGACTATATAAATGCCTGGGAGTGAAACTTTTCATGAAATACAACTGGTTTATACCAAATCAGTGTGTATGCCTCTAATATTTCAAAAGTAAAAAAAGGGAAACATTTTTTTAGAAATCAAAATCAACAAAATACACTATAATTTAAACGATTTAAACATTTAAGGAAAACAAAGACAGAAATATTCAGATCGATGGATTTACACATTAACGAGAAGCGCAAAGTTCTGTTAAATATTTTAAATTCATCGGATCTTTCAAAGTGTTTCTGCCACTGTCAAGCACTCAACCCTCAAAAGCTATCTTTTTTTAAAATATATTTATAACAGCAATATGATCCAGAAGCATGTTATATAACCTAGCTGCAAAATAAAAATAATGACGATGGCCAATTGTCTTTGAACAGGTCGCGATAAAAAGTGGACGTTCCCCTAGTCTCGTAGTTATGTTTCACTGACTTTAATAAAATCTTTTATGTATGTATCGGAACAAAACATCACTAGAGTAACCAGGATATTTTTGTTGATTATTTTGATAATCCATTTATGTAGTATGTCTTGAATCTATAGAATTCTGTAAGACAGATGTCAATAGACAGTACATAACCTATGAACTTGTGAAAGGGTTAGAATGTCTGGAAGGTACCTAAAATGCCGCAAAGTACTCCAGATATTTTTAACAACTTTCTGAATCTGTAAGTCACATTTCAAATGACGGTCAATAATTCTTGAAGGATTCGAATTCTGAAATCTCTGTATTGTCATTTTTCTTTAGCGGCTGAAGAATCGGCAAATTGTTGCTGTATGACGTAAGTGGTAAATATCAGGTTTTATCGAAATTTAAGGTTAATTGATTGCACGGAAACCACACCACAAATGTCATGAAATTTCTCTATGCTCTCTATGCATTTCTTTAAATTTTCCAGGTATTTACCTTATACATTAACGCAGCATCATCGACAAAATTTATTATTTTTCCATGAGAATTTAGGTATCAGGTACTGAGTTCTATTAGCAAGATAGCTTTTTCCAATTTAATGTATTGTAAGTCCACTATAAAAGATTATATTGGGTCCTGAGTCGATCTCCCTAAATCCATATTGACGATTTGGTTCCTATCTTTATTATCTTCTCCAGAGCCAAACACAATAATTTACAAAACAATTTAATTTGCCATCTTAATTATTTGAAACATAATATGGGATAAAAGATTTTTTTGATATTTAATGTGACCTCAGAACACTGCAGTAATATACAGCCTCCAATTAAAATATTTGACAAATATTTCCTTTCCTTTATTTTTTGCTCTCGATTTAATTTATCTTAAACATCGATGATGATAAATAGTCACTTTAGTAGGTTATCGTATATCATGACAAAAATATAGTTCTAAAAGTTGGGTTTCACATAGCGTTAAATATTTTAGTGCCAAATTAACTGGCTCTCACAAAAATTTCCAGATTTAAAACCATGTTATTTAGAGGCACATAATAAATTATTAAGTGAAGTGAAATAAAAAAGAGATACTATCAGAATAGGAGTATTTTATAAAGAAACACAACAAAAGCTTGTTGGCAAGTAGTTCTTCAAATAAAATGAACAAAAAAAAATCATTGAACTTTTGATAGATGCTCAGTGACGTTTCGAATGTAGCAAAGGACAACAGTGACAAGCAGGGTCTTTGGAAGTTTGAGGTGAAGTGTATTTTATGATGGAACGTTTAATATCTCTAATGTGTAAAGTATTAGAGAGGAGAGCAGCACCCTTCATCACAACCTTCCAAAAACAATGAGTCCGAATGCAACCCTACACTTGCCACTGTTGCCCTTCCCTACATTCAAAACATCACTGACTACATATCAAGAGTTCTTAAGAAATATAGCGTCTCTCAACATCTTAGGTCCGTCAAAGACAAAATTCCGTTTGAGATGCCAGGAGTCTAGTAAGAGGAGTAAAGAAAAATTTGCAGAGACCGGTCGGAGAAAATATCAACTAGGCTCAAAAAACACGAAAGAGCCTTACGACTAAGACAAAATTTTGTTTGAGATATCAGGAGTTTACAACATTCCATGCATATGAAGAGGCCGGAAGAACAATATGAAGTAGGCTCAAAGAACAGCAGTTTGCCGAACACAATCACGAAACCGAACATCAAATTCTTGCCTGTAATCAATTTTTCTATAAACGAAGGATCCGACCATCTATACAAATTAATAAGCAACCAAACAATGAACCGTGACCCAAGTCT